GCAGTAGACGTTGGTTAACTAAGTGAAAAGCCTCTAGTTCGTTATTTGGAGGGGGGTTCGCCATGGGAGAATTAGTCTCAGTGGTGGGCAAGAAGTCTTGAGGATTCTTTTGTTGTCTTCCACTGTTGGCCTCCTGCTAGTTCTACATCTGTGGAAGGTTCAATTGGCTTCTGCTCATATTGTGCATAGAGACCATCAATTACTGAAGAAAATCAATATATTTGTAACAGGAACAATCGTTTCCACAAATAGCGCCAAACTGATGGTGTATAGAACGTGACAGAGCAGAACGTGTGTGCTATGAGGTCTGGTCTGAGCTACAAGGCTCTGAAGGATATTGAGGCTACTTTAGGGAAAAAAGAAAGGTAGGTTACACAGAAGGGTTATAGTGGTTCACCGACTCAGGAGCTCGACTAATCCACTCTTCAAGGGAGACTCTTGCTCCTGTAGATTTTATTAAAGACAGAAGAGAATTACATAGATTTCTTGATGCTAAGCTCTCTGTCCCCCATAATGAAGACTTTGTACAGTATATATAGCTTAATTCCTAGTTTCATGGAGTTTGGAGTGNTTTCTTGATGCTAAGCTCTCTGTCCCCCATAATGAAGACTTTGTACAGTATATATAGCTTAATTCCTAGTTTCATGGAGTTTGGAGTGAGATCTTTGTCTCCCTTCCATGACGCTTTGCTTGATTTCAGGCGTTGGTTAGGGCTTGATTTCAGGCGTTGGTTAGGTCGGTTGAGGTTCTTGTGCCTAAACTGTTGTTTAAGGCCGTTAAAGGGGGCATTTAGTGGTTGCCAGTTGTTTTCTACTCAGACCCCCAAAGTCTGAACTCGAACTTTCCTGGCTGAGCTTGAGCTTTCCTGGCTGAGCTCCCTTACAGACCTCAATGGTTGAGCTTAAACTTAGAATTTTTCTAGGTATCATCATTCATTATGCTGAAGAAATTAGTTTATGCTTACGAGTGTGGTGATTAAGCTTCATTTGTGGTACCAACAGGCCTTTGGTTCAATGGTACTCTTTGTCTTGTAAAAACTTTGTATTTTTGAGGTCAATGATTCAAGTCTCCTTCTCCCTCTCTGTCCCCCCCCTCCCCCCCCCCCCCCCCCCCCCCCCCCCCCCCCCCCCACCCACCCCCCCCCCCCCCCCCCCCCCAAAACCCCCCCCCCC